CGTTGGGGAGAAAATCAGTGACGTAAACGGTGACGTCATGACACAGCACCAGTCAGACTCTGAGCGGTGGAAACATAAATGGTGCTACAGAGAAGAACCAGTTAAGCACCAGAAAAGCACAAGAACTGTTCTTGAACCGGTTTGGTGGAAAAGGGGCATTAAATCCCCTTTCTTCCCCATTCTGATGTGGATTGAACTTCACCAGGTCGTATTCACCATGTCTACATGCCTCAATGCATTGAATTGCTGCCATGTGATTGGCTGATTAGATATTTGCGTTAACGAGCAGTTGAACAGGTGTACCTAATAATAAACTGGCCAGTGAGTGTATATTATATTTTACGCATTTTTGAGTCATTATAAATATAAAATATAAATATTTCTCCATCCATCCATCCATCTTCTCCCGCTTATCCGTGGTCGGGTCGCGGGGGTAGCAGTTCCAGCAGAGAGCCCCAAACTTTCTTTTCCCTGGCGACATCAACCAGCTCTGACTGGGGGACCCCAAGGCGCTCCCAGGCCAGCGAAGAGATATAATCCCTCCACCTGGTCCTAGGTCTACCCCTTGGTCTCTTCCCAGCTGGACGTGCCTGGAACACCTCCCTAGGGAGGCGCCCAGGTGGCATCCTAACTAGGTGCCCGAACCACCTCAACTGGCTCCTTTCGACGCGAAGGAGGAGCGGTTCAACTCCGAGTCCCTCCCGGATGACCGAACTTCTCACCTTATCCCTAAGGGAGACACCAGCCACCCTGCGGAGAAAACCCATCTCGACCGCTTGTATCCGCAATCTCGTTCTTTCGGTCATGACCCATCCTTCATGACCATAGGTGAGGGTAGGAACGAAAATGGCCCGGTAGAGAGAGAGCTTTGCCTTCTGGCTCAGCTCCCTTTTCGTCACAACGGTGCGGTAAAGCGACTGCAGTACCGCTCCCGCTGCTCCGATTCTCCGGCCCATCTCACGCTCCATTGTTCCCTCACTCGAGAACAAGACCCCGAGATACTTGAACTCCTTCACTTGGGGTACAAGTGAAGGATATTACAAAGTACAAATATTTCTTAATAACTATATTAGGTGTGTGTTCTCACCCGGGTGTTTAGGACCATGGCGTTGATCTCCGGTATCTCTAGACTGGATCTTAGGAATAAAAAACTTCAGTCAGCTCTTTGCTCACTTATTACAGCAACATATAATATTAAATATTATAATAAAATATGAGGTAATTCAAACAGAAAGAAAGCGTCTCTCACTTAAAGTTTGGTCTCTTTGTCCACAGAGGTTTCACATTCTGAAGAGACAAAATTAGAAAAACTTTTCAAGTGAAGTTTAACTAACTGAGTATAAGCAGCAAGTTCAGATTTCACAACACATCATAATATAATAAAATATAAAACAATAAATACAGTGTATACATACAAATATATGTATATATTAAACAATAATACAATGATTATAGTATCATAAATACAGTGTATACATATTAAAATATTAATAATACATTTTAATAAATACAAACATTTGTTGGTCATCTTGTTATTATAAATCATTCTGATACACTTCCTTTACAAATAACTCTTTGTTCTTTGTACACTAAGATTGTACTTTATACAATAACTGGGCACCAAATCACTGTGAGGATGTATTTTAATAATACCAATAATAATGTAAATAGGGTCTGACCTTCTTGGTGAGGTCGCTCCAGCTCCAGCAGCTGATCTCTCCGTTTCCTGCGCTCAGGAGGTGACAGTCGGTGGAGAGGAGCGAGAACACAGGTCCTTCATGAGCTAAAAAACACACACACTTTCATTATAAAAACCCCATTAATCACAACACAGATACCCAGTGAGAAAAGGCAGGAATAAAGCAATGGTGACTCTTTCTCACTTTCAAAAAGTTGCCCTTAGAAGACTGCCATAAAATATACATATTAATATTACTCTCCACTTACTTTCGGGTTAGCTATTATAACCAACTTTAGGCCTGATCATAAATACTTTATATCCTTTTTGGAGAATTTGAGACTTTGAAATGGTAGTTAATTTACAAAGTGCCACTAATGTTTGTTTTTATGAAAGTAAAATGTCCAACAAAAGAGCAAATCAAATAAAAATATGAATATAAACATAGACACTTAAAGTAAAAACATAAACAGGTTTATTAGAATATATACAGAGGTGTATTATTACACCTCTGTATACAACTATCGTTTTTAGGACATATGTATTAACACAACTAACTTGGTTTTTTTCATTACTTACTAACAAACTAAAAATAACACAAAATACAATACTCAACATTAAAAGTTATTAGTCCCTAACTAGTGTGACAAATCAAAGTATACTGAGGTCTTAAAAAAGATATTTGTTTACAATTCTCATTAATTGTATACAATGGTAATGACAGTAAGATAACTGAATCAACTTTTGAGCCCCATAAAATGAAACAAATATTCAGGGTTAGGGGATATGTGTTATATCTCACCTGTGAAGGTTAGAACAGGTTTCTGACTCAGGGCTGTGGCATCTGGACTCAGAGCTGCAGACAGGCTGTAACCCAAACATAACCAATATATTAATATGATTATTAATATATTAATACATTTGGTTTAAAAGAGGCACTATTTTGCTTATTTTCAAGTTCATATCAGTATGTAGTGTCTCTACTGTGACATGTCTCCATGCTCTAATGTTGAGTGAGTGTGTGGGAGAGAAACTCACAGGGATTCGGAACACAAACTACAAGAAAGGGAAAACCTGAAAAAAGCATAATAGGGCCTCTTTAATGAGTTTGATCAGTTTTGTGTGTCGGACCTGAACACGGCGATCTCGCCATAGTTGTTCCCGGCTGCCAGAAATCGTCCACAGGGAGAAAAACTCTGCGAGAACACGGACATGTGGAGGAGCTGCAACAACAAAACGCACATTAAATATTCATATTCATCTTTATTAACCTTATGAAATCACATCAGCAGCTCTGTGTTTTCTCTGCTCATTATTTCCAACATACATCTGTTGACTTCTATCAGCCATCTATCATTTATTGGAGGTATTACAAGTTGAAACAGCAGGATGGCAGGAAGAGTGGTCTCAGATGTACAATTGCAGTACAAGCCCACTTAGACAAAATATGAAACAATAATCTAAATTAATAAAAAGATAATTAAAGAAAGATAAAAGAAAATCAAGTGTCACAAAAGTATTATTATTAGTAATATACATGTATTACTGGGCATCACACCTATCAAACGTAAAGGATTTTTAGAAGAAGTCATATATATATATATTATTATCCAATTAATAATATTGAATGATTAAGTAATTCCAGGACAAGTGAAGACCAATACTGTGTCACATATTCAGACAAAAGACAATATACAATATACACATTACAAAATACAGTTCAAACTCTGGTTAACATTTATACAAAAACGGGTTACCAAATGGGACTTGATTTAAGGACCTTAATACATGCTCTTATAACATGTGATTGGTTCCATTTTAAAAAGATATATAACTTTTTAAGGAATTCAATCAATACCCACATTTAATAGGAGTCCCTTTACCATTAGAACATATTTTAACCAGTAATCCTATGCGAGCATTTTTACAAGCTAACAAGAAAACCCAACTTTAGCAGAAAACAATGGCATGTTTATTAGCTAACAAAACGTATTTTAAACACCAACGATAGTTTCGTTAAGATGAAGTTGATGTAAACGTGTTAACTTATGTAAGCTGTTTAACTAATAAGCACAAAACACACATTTTAGCGGAATTCTAAGTGGTGTTTGCGCAAAGCCTTAACTTTTAAGACCAAGGCACACAGGTACAGCTAAGGGGATTAATTAAACTTTAAATCAGTGTGTATTAACGTATTCTAACTAATCACCAAAAAACACCATCAGATATTATCGTTATTTGCCACATTTCCAACAACAACAACAAAGCGCGAGTAAAGCTAAGCGCATATTTCAGTATAAATGTGAGTGAGATTTTTTAATTAAATTGAATTTCCTTCACAGTTTTAAGAACATATTAATGATAGTTTACCTCTACGGGACCCATTCTGTTCACACGGACACTTCGTGCCTTTATAACGGCTGCAAAAGGAGCAAAAAGTCGGTAATTTAAGTATTTTTTTCACAAACGATGCGAGGAGGGAACAAGATGAATGCAGTCGAGGGAATATGACGTATGCACTAACGCAAAGGATTCTGGGACATGTAGTACACATTCTAGCAGCGAGGTGTTTTTTATGTACAACTACAGGACAAATGTAATTAATACATGTAAGAAAAGAAAACAATTATACTCAAAATGGATTCGATAAAAAAAAACACAGTATGAAATCACTTTGTCTCAAAACATGTTTTAGTATGTATTTGATCATTTTAAATTATATTTTAGAGCAGGTTCAATTATAATTATGAATTTCTATATAAATAAATGGCAATAAAGGAAAAAAGGAACTAGGAACTAGAATGAAAAATAAACTTGATAATACAAAATATCTATCATATATTTAAGATAATAAATCAATGTACATTTTATTAATAATACACTTTATATTGTTACAAATATTATTGTATTGCAAATCATCATATCTAAGGGAGGTGTAAAGTAAATATAAAAATGTTATGAAGGTAGAACTATGTAAATATGTATGCTCATTTTTAGATTTGTTATACAAAATAATTACTATTTTAAACATATCAAATACAAGTACACATTAATCATTGTTTTGACATTCAAAATGTATTCCCCATATACACAAGGAAGAACAAAGCTCCAGAGGATTTTTCTAATTAAAAAACTGTGTTTCTAATATAATGTATTTGTTGATTATTAAAACGACCTCAGAATGTCATTTGCCCCATGATGATAATGAAGAAGTAGGCCTAGAGATGAAGGGGATGAAGATCCAGCGGTAGCCTGGCTCGGCTCGACTCGGTTATCCCCGGCAGCGGTGAAGCAGAGCAGCACCGAGACTCAGTGATTGTCTGTAATACAATGACCCTAATGAGCTCTGGGGTTCATTATTAAAATAAAACCCAGAAACTGATTGTTAAAACCACATACTGGTTTTTTTTGTGCGCATGATGATGCGCAGCAGTGTGCGCTCCGGCGGCGCGCAGCCAGCAGCGGCAGGAAGTATGTTGTCGAAGCGGCGGTAGAGAGAAGGTAGTTGGGGAAAAGAGCCAAGAAGCAAAAGTCGGTGTTTGAACCGGAGGAAGAGAAAATAAATCATGCCGAATCCGTGAAATCTGCGTACTTTTGCATCTCCACGCCGTGCATCGTCCACCCGTGCGGGCGCAGAGGCCGATTGAGGGTAAGTGTGGAGCGGAAAAAATGGCTCGAAAACTAGGCTTTCATCAATGGTTGCCACGGTATGTTTGTCGAGATCTTTGTGTAGCTCCGGGCTAGCCTGGGGTTAGCTGAGATGCTAACCTCTCTGCGAGCGCGATACATCGGTGACAGTTTGCACCCACTATCTGCTTCGTGTTATTTAAACTAAACAATAGTTGTCTCGCTAGCTTCTGCACGTTTGTATTTTAAGCTTTTATTTACAATATTTGTGTTTTGCACTTCCGTTTTACCTATTTTCTCATCACGGGGGGTTGCTAACTAGCCTAATGTTAGCGCGGCCGTGTATATTTTACCTCCTATCCACCAAACTGTTTATAGAACCAAAATGCTAAAAGCATTGATGTTGCTGAATATGGTATATGCACCTTATTTTGAGAAAATAAACACACCCCAAGCCTCTGGTTGTAGCGCAGTGGGGTATCAGTTTGTGTTTGCGGGCTAAAAAGGAGATGCTAGCGCGTTAGCATGGGGAAAATGTCTCGCTGCTCGAAAGCCATTTTCCGATTAAATGGGGTCTCAGTGAAAGTGGGCTGGTGGCTGTAGGTGTTGTTCCCGCTATGCTGTGATCGCTAACACCGGGCGATTTTATTCAGTTTGACCCCCCTGTTGTTTTTGCTCCCGGATCCACGGCCGGGCTCGGGTGTCACTCCCCCGAATAAATTCGGGGAGTCGGCCTTAGGAAATGTCAGCCGTGTGTCGGAGAAGATGCCCCGCTTTTGTCCCGATAAATCCATGCCGGGGCTGAACCCGAGCAAGAAGAGACGGGCCAAGGTCAGGCCGCCCTGCTGCAGCTGGCACGGCTCTTTCTGTGTTAAATCTGCTGTAATCATATTAACAGAATGATAGTTTGTATGGGTTTATTGCCGAAGCTGATTGTTGTCTATGATCAGAACAACCCATACATGTGTGAACAGACCCGGTTTATTTCTGCAAGGTGTGTGAATCCATCCGAGACACTTTTGGCACCACAAACATTGAAATACCTTTTTGTTTGTGAAGTACAGCTTTACTAGTTGTTTTTGTTGCTGTGCAAAGCAAATTCCGTTTGTTTACATTATCCGAGGAAGAAAAAAAGTTGGACGGGGAAAAGAAAGACAGGGTTTTGATTAACTGGTCCTGAACGGTCTGATTCACATTTGTGTGTGAATGAGATGCTTCATTTAAAAGATCTGTACCAGATCACTGTGGATGATTCCATGTTTATTGTCATATTCACACTAATTAAAGAGATGCAGCTGTAAGATCTCACTGATTAACAAATACATGTTAAAAAGATAAAAATTGTTCAACAGCTTATTTCTAAGGGCTTAACACAACATTTCCCCCGTAAATTCAGACATAATTCCTTTCAACATATGTCCTCAATTTAACTTTGCGATTCATGGCAAGTACATATGTAAAAAAAGAAAGACATGGAAGTGAAAAATATTGGGTAATTGAAATATAGGGATAAAACATTACGTGAATATAAAACAAAATGGATTTTGTGTTAAGTAATGGCAAAGTCAATTCACTGTTATGTAAACAGGAATGTAGTAATGTGCCTGCACATTCAGAGGTATACAATGTTTTGCACAACAGTAGGTTCAATTAAATGCCAATGAAGCCAGTTATCTGAACCAGCAGTTTACAGTCACACTGTAAAATTATCAATTGATGGGATTTAAAACATCTTCATTTTTTTTCATGACATGAATACAGATATGAATCTAAACACATATATTAATATAAAGATGCAAGGAAATTAAATTAGTCCTTCATGGTAAATTGTAAAGTCAGAATATCTTTTAAAAAGTAGGTTTACAGCTCCAAAGCCTAATTTCTGCAATCTATGGCACTTAATTTATACTTTATTTATTCACAATCGGAAAGTGAAAACTAGTGGAGGTATACATTTTAGGAGGTATCCAGAAGATATTTGACTGTTAGGGGCATTCCAACTTTTTGTTTTTGTTTAGTTGAAAGCATTAGGCAAAAACGTGTTACATAATTATTCAAGTTTCTTTACATGTTTACTCCAAATAAAAAAACTGGAGAGGCTTAAAATACACAAACCTGCAAAAAAAGTAAACAAATGGTAACTAGTATATCTGAAATAAAGTTCAAAATTGTGCAGGTTTCTTTGAATTTTATACAAGATTTCTACCCACTTTTTTTCGACGATAATCAGAATCATTTTCTTATTCATTTGGATGTATATTCATCATCACAGCAGCACAATAATCAGGATGTACAGGAAACATACAATTAACCATTAATCCAAGATATATATGCAGAATGCTATGTGCACAAAGGTCAGGGTCTAACCCGAGTTATTACCTCGATTATACCTAGATTAAATAATTAATTGCTTGAATAATTGATTAATTAATTGATAATGGAAAACAAATCCGACATATTTAAAACCTCGACAATCTTTGAGGTTATTGAAGAAATAATCAGCTCTGTTTTTACCTAATAATGTATTAAACCATATTACAAATTAGGGCTGAACGATTAATCGATTTTAAATCGAAATCGCGATTCGAGATGATGCGATTATCAAATAGCAAAGCCTGCGATATTTTTTACTTTTTTTTCTTTCTTTTTTTTTCTTCTTCTTGTGTATCAGTCATCCACACCAATCAGAAGTGCTGTGCTCCACATGTATCAGCCATTGTTAACCAATCAGAAGTGGCCCATGATAGAAGGTGATAGACAGATTGATCCAATCACCTGCCAAGTATTTTTGAAAGTGCCTGCCCTTTCCAAATGGCTTCCAATGGAGCTTTCCTAGATGGTTTGGTGAAACAAAGCATCTGAGTCAGGTTAGTGATGCTCCATCACATGTTCTACATCTAAAAGGGTGAATCTTAAACTGAAGCTTGACTTTAAAGCAACCCAACGGAAGTTTCATGTAAGTTTAGTTCTTTCACTCGTAGCTCGGGCTGCGGGGGTGCTAGAGACGGGAGTATGTTGATACGACCTTCCTAGCCGGAGTTATGGCTGCATTTTACAATAAACTTCCGTTGGGTCGCTTAAAAATAAATATCGCAAATCGCAATATTTGTCAGAAAAATCGCAATTAGATTTTTTTTTCTTTCAAAATCGTGCAGCCCTACTACAAATGATTTTAAACATTTCTATTAAGATAATAATGTTTTGCTTATTAATTTAGCTCATCACATCAGTAATGGTGGTCAACTAGACAGGTTTTCTAAAGGATTTAAAGAGCCTGTGACAGCCTCCCAACAACTGTTGTGCAATGACATATTGGGCTACTAGTAATCTCGAACCGTCAGTTTAAAAAAGAAGGTGCGATACCGTTCCGATAAATATCAATAATTTCGAACATCGCGGGGAAATTCCTTCGACTCATTTTGAAGTTTTGGGGGAAGCCGGAAGTGACGTCAATGCGGGAATGCTTCACTGTGCGGCGAGAGAGCCAAACACGGACAAAGTGTGTTGTCATGCTCGTTAATAACGTTTTAATGAAGTTGACTACAGTATATTCATATTTGTCAGTGCTTTCATGTCAATTCGGCGAACTTATGATACATTAAATGATCGTGAGGATGATGATTAAAAATCGTTTGTTTGAGCCGGTCTGCATTTCCTAATGAAAAAACAAACTGATGCTTTTTGTAGTTGTAGTACACCAACATGGATTAAACGTGTGGTTTTTTTACCACAATGTTGGGGAAATTAATGGATAAAATGCACGGATTATTATTATTATTCCCACTCCGATCGGGACACTAGGTCCACCGTTTCCCCGCAGCGAGGCTCCCCCCGTTGACAGTTTACATGGGCTGGGTGCCGTGGCGGACTGGCCATCGGGACCGGTACCGAAGTGGGCCGGTCGGATAAGTCACTAGCACATCCCCCACTCCCCCCGTTGACAACTTACTAGCGGTACCGAAGTGGGCCGGTCGAGAGTCCCGGGATGATTTTTAGTCCCAGTCCACCACTGGCTACATGACCGTATGATCGCCCATATTGACGCACCTAATTCCTAAACTTCTAACAGATACAACATAAACCGATCCTTCAGCCTCATATGAGCTCTCAGACACGTTCAAAATTAAACTGTCATCGCTGTCTGAGCTTGCTGCTGTGTGCACCATCGTGCGTTTACATGCAGATGCTGGGATCCTGAACGGTGCAGCTGGAGCGCTGTGCCCGCAATGACGTCACATAATTTGGCAGGATTTGAAGAATCCCCGAGAAGATCTAGAAAATGGTCAACATTGAAGGGCAGATTAATGGTTATCAAAGTACAAATATCCAAAATCAGTTCAGTAACGGTTTTCAAGGGGACAATATTTACTCAGATTGATGGGTTTGGATGATGGGGGAAACTCGTGTCACAGGCTCTTTAAGTGGCTAATTTAGGGTTACGCTATTTTTCTACAGTTCTAAGGTTTACTGAATAGCTTGAGATGGTTTTAGTGGTGGGAAATTGACCACTGTTAATTTAAAATGAGGGCTGCAACTAATCATCAGTCTTTCCCCTACCATTGTAGTGCCCCCGCCAACGGAGCCCCCCCTGAAATTCAAGAAGAAAAAAAAACATATTTATAGCACCAAATTGCAACTAATCTATCTACTGTCACTTTTCACATTGAACATGTGCTCTTTTATTAAATTAACTAAACACTTTCATTTTAAGTTATGAGTTTAGTGTTTTTGACCCTAAGAAACACCGATGCACTAATCAATAACAATAATCCACAGCTCCTCTCTCTGCTCCAGAGGATTATTTTTTTTAAAACACCCCCTTTTTTTGTACCTATCCAGCAAAGATTGTTTAGGGACATCTCTACAGCATCACCACACTTGAATAATCTACCTCCTCAATTTCAGTGTTGCGTTATCTCTTCATCTTTTTCTATTTCAAATAGAGAAAAGGTCGTCTCCTGCCAATTTAATCCTCTCCTACATCTGTTTTTGTCCTCCCCTCTCTACCTCTTCTTGATTTTTATCCACCTTCACCTCCATATATGTCTCCAAATATGTATATTTAGTTTTTTCCATGCTGCTTTTTTGCTTGTTATAACAAAGTTTCAAACTGAAATGCAAATTGTTGCCTCTTTAAATTACACACACATAAAAGATGCATACAAGTTTTAATATGTGAATAGAATCAACATCAATATGTGTAGTTATGCGAGCTGGTTTCTCCAAAATGACATACTCCACCTTTACATAATATATTTGGCTAAAAATAATTTTAGAAAGTGATTTCAAATAATACATTCAAAAAATGTTTTTAAGTGGTATAACCCGTTTATTTTTATTAAAATGAACTGAACAGCTAATGAAAGTTCCCAAATATGTACTTTGTTACAATGCTGTCTTTAAAACCAGGAAAACACCTTTTTTTTTTTTTTAAATGAACACATCCAAAATACTAGATATCTAGTCCAGACAATTTAATATCGATACATTGCATAGCCATAATTACAAATAAATAGGATGTAGTTTGGATGTAGGGAGAAGTCTTCTCCACTCTGCTTCCTGTCAGCGTGACTGCAGCTGCAGTGTCCTCCGTCAGAAACAAACAGTTAGAGCAAATAACTAAAGTATGCTGGATACTAGCGCCGCAATGAGAACCTGAAGTTTGCGGGGGGGTAGGTTTTACAGCAAGCCCCGTACTCTTTATACTGTCAACAGAGGTGTGTCCTGTTATGTGGAGGAAAACCAAATGACTTTTTCCACATGCAACAAATCAAATCCTTAAGAAATCAGAGGAAGTTGTGATGTTGAAATAACCACATTTATCTGTAAATGTTATGATAATAAATATAACTATTTTATATTACCAAAGGAAAACTAAATGTAAACTCAATAAACTATAATCTAAATGTAAACAACAATTGTTTTATATTTAGGGCTGTCAAACGAATACAATTTTTAACCAGATTAATCACAGCTTAAAAATTAATTAATCATGATTAATCACCATTCGAACTATGTCCAAAATATGCCATTTATTTATGTATATTGTTGTGGGAATGGAAAGATAAATGAAAGAAGGCGGATATATCCATTTAACATACAGTATCTATGTTTATTATAAAAAAATTCTGTGTGTCAAAATGAAAGACAGCCCACACACCTATCAATCATCAAACCGTGGGGTCTTAATTCATTACGTGTTGATTTCTATCAACGGGGGAGTACTTCAGGAAAGTCGACGGGGGGGGGGGGGGGGGGGGGGGGGCGGCGGCGGTTAGTGGAGTACTTCGTGACCACAGTGTGAACGTTGTGATCAGCTGTTTTAGCGCAGTTCTCCAGTGAAGGGGGGGGGGGAGTCTCCCTCCGCCGCCGGTTGGCGTAGTTTTGGCACAATTCCGTTGTACAGACCGACGTTAACAGCAGCCCTGTCTGTGCACACGGAGACCGACTCTGTCGTCCGGTGATCTAACCGCCTTCTGGAAAAGCTTCACAAGTACGTCGGTACGCAAATGCGCTTTGTGACACAAGTGACGGTACGCATTTCAGATTACGCACATAACCTGCGTACCAGTTATGTGCACCCCTGTACTACAGCAAAAGTATTCTCCGTCCGGACTTCCTGCAACAACACCACCCGTTATCAAAGATGTTCTATTGAGAAGACGATCACTACGTGACAAAAGTTTTCAAAACCGTGGCTACTGAAATCAATCTTACTAACTGCTGTCTGTGCAATTTACTCCGCGCGAGTTGGCAGACTTTATTTTGCTTACTTTAACATCATTTTTCATGGTGGGGCTAAGCCATTTCTTGGTATGGGTGTAGCCTACCCCAGCCATACCCTGGCGCTGCCACTGGTGGGATGTATGGGGCGGGCCATTCTGCACATGCGTTAAATATTTTAACTAGGGCCGGGACTCGATTAAAAAAATTAATCTAATTAATTAGAGGCTTTGTAATTAATTAATCGAAATTAATCGCATTTTTAATCACATATACATATTTGACCTGAGAACAGTGAGAAGCAATTTTTTTCACATGGATTTTAGTATACCATTAGGCGCATTCACACCGCAGTACTTTTCCCACAAAGGTTCATGAGAATTTAGTTCATGAGAACTCTTTGAACCTGGGGGAGGATTAGGCAAATGAAGCCGCTGACGTCACTTCTTCTTCTTCTGCTTTGGGTTTACTGGCAGGCCGCAAACCACTTCACGGCGTATACTGCCGCCCAAAGTCCCCGGCCGGAAGTCCCCGGAGTTGGGGACTGGCTTCAGTAGAAGCTGCTGGGAGTCCCAGCAGCTTCTACTGAAGCCTTCCGAGTAAATTGCCAGAACGCCGACACCTCCTCATCTCCACCGCTCCCATGTTTTATTTTGTGTTGCCATAAGTTAGTCTCTCTGCGTTTCTGCGCTGGGCTAATGCTAATAATGCTAATGCGAGGATAATAAAATGGCGGCTTCACAAAACTTTTTGGGAGTTTTACGGGGCGTGGTTTGCAATCCGCCCAGCCAATCAGACATATAGCTCTTTTCTCACAAGAGAGCCGTACGAAAGTCCCTGTTCTCTAGCAGCTCTCTGCTCTCTAGCAGGGACTCTCGTGGGGGTAAAAAGGTTCTCATGAACTAATTTTAGTACCGGCTCTTTTTGGTTTGAACGCGATAAAAGAGGCTAACGTCCACGCTCGCTTCCACGCTAGCTGCTATATGTTTTTGCATTGAGGTGATACTTGAGGCTTGATGTGCTGCGGTGATATGCGAATTCCTTTTTGCATAATTTGCACACAACCGTGCTCTTATCGACGCTTCCATCCGTCCGTTTTTTAAAACAACATTTCCCACTGTTGTTCACTGTGGTTTGTTGTTGTCTGAAGTCATGAACGTTAGTTGGTGCTCCAGTATAATCGGTACGCCTGAAACTCATCCAGTGAGAAACGTTCCGCGGTGCAAAAATAAGTGCGATTAAAATGCGTTAATTTTTTTAACGCGTTAATTTTTGTGTAATTAATTAATCTTAATTAACGCGTTAAAGTCCCGGCCCTAATTTTAACGCAATTAATTAAAAAAATTAATTACCGCCGTTAACGCGATAATTTTGACAGCATTACTTATATTATAAAATCATGACAACATTAACATATTGTACAGATTGAAAGGTTTAACAATAGAAGGTTACAAAAATGAGTAGAATCTGTTGTCTGAAATCTTACTAGGGCTACAATTAGACTGTTTACATATTTTGCTGTGTATGTATATTACAAGTCTATAAAAATAAATACCAATATATTTAAAGGATGTCAAAGAGCAATACAAATGTACTATTTGCTTGGTAAAGAACTGGCACTTATCAAAATGGTTATTAAATATTAAATACTGGATGCCTGACAGTTACAGGATTGCATTGTGGTAAAAGTGGATAAATACAAGATTTTATTCATTTAAGTAACCTTCCATTTTCTTATTCTTGTCCCTACAGTGATACCTCATTTGCTGGTGTGACCCCTGCCGGCCCGCCACCTCCCAAGGTGGGCCCCGATTGGCTGGACCTGCCCTGGGGAAGCAATCGGCACCCTCAGCTGAAGAGCTAAGCCCCGCAGTTTCCTCCCCCATCCCCCCTACGTCACTGTTCATTTCTTTGATGTGAACTGTGATTCCCTCCGTCCTGTTTGCTTTAGAGTACTATGGCAATGCATGATATGAGTCGTGCCAAGGGTTTCCCCTGTAAAGAGTGTGATATGGTTTGTCCGAGTACTCCAAGTCTTCTAGAACATATGAAAGCACATTATCAGCAAGAAGAAAACGGACGTTTTGAGTGTGAACAGTGTGGGCGAGTTTACAAGCACGCAGCTAGCCTAGCCAATCATAAAAAATCTCACGAAGTGGGTTCATTCCAGTGTCCAGTTTGTACGCGTACGCTGCCCAACGCGGTAGCTTTGAAAAACCACCTACGTATCCATACTTTGTCCCCCAGTAGTGCACACGCAGAAGAAGAGAGTGAAGAAGTTCCCGAAGAAACGGGCCACGACGAGAGGGACTACGGTCTCGCCCAAGACCTCTCAGACGGGTTTGGGCGCTCACATTTGAACAATAGTGGTATGGGACATAGTGTCCTACAAGGCCACGAGACAGACAACCACGGTAAAAAAGGTTCTCCCGAGCACGACAACGCTTGGGACAGACCATTCAAGTGTGATCAGTGCGAGAGAACCTACCGGCATCACGGTAGCCTGGTGAACCACAAGAAGTGTCATCAGCAAGGAACTTTTAAGTGCTCTGTGTGTTTTAAACAATTTAGCAACCTGGCTGCCCTAAACAGCCACGAGAGAACTCATTCGAAGTTCAAGACCCCTGGAGCCTCAATGGTGAGCAGCAGCAGCCTCCACGACTCACGCAGCAGTGGCACCCAGTCGTCTCAGAGCAACGACACTGCCTCGTGCTTTTGCCACCTGTGTCAGATAGTGCTGCCAAATAAGACAGACTTTCAGGAGCACATACTGCTACACAACGCAGCCTCGCCCTCCCTTGGTCTGCCGCGCAATTTCCCAGGAATCATGGCCCACAATCTGAGTGCGGTTCGATCCCCAGCATACACCCCTGCGCTGGGTGACCCTCTGCCCCTGCCACCCCTGCCCACTGACAAAAGAGGCCCCTATGACCCCATTATGGGCCCTCCAGTCAACAATCCCATCTACACATGCGCATATTGTGGCGCAGGACATCCAGATCTGGAGACCTTAAAAGTCCACTATCTGACCCATGACCCTAACCCTGCCTCTCACGGCCAGGAAAGCTCCATTCTCAGCTCTGGATCGCAGGGCTCAGTGTCCTCTCCCTCCGGAGGCCGTGTGCCCCAGGCCAATTCTCCAGATAATGGAGAGCGACGCTTCAAGTGTGGAGAGTGTGACAAAAGCTACCGGCATGCAGGAAGCTTGGTCAACCACAAGCGCTGCCATCAGACAGGCCACTACCAATGCACAATCTGCTGTAAGCAGTACCCCCACCTGGCAGCGCTACACAGCCACCTACGAAGCCACAAGGGGCGTTCTGGCAACACGTCTTTAAATAATGACGGCAGTGACTGGCTGTCTCCAGAGCCGCTAACCCTGGACTCCCAGCAGAGCTACGTCCAGGAAGGCAGCGGCGCCACCACTCCAATTTCCCTGCCAGGGAATCTTGGTGATGCGGCCCACTTTGTACAAGATGGTGGCCATAGCAGTGGGTTGGACTCTCTTGAGTTTCACGATCGCTTTGATGGTAGCTCACTTTCCCAGAGCAACTCTGCTCACCGTCAGGCTGACAGACATGTGTGCGCCGACTGCGGCGAGATGTATGGAGATGTATCTGGAATCAAGTCGCACATGTGTCCTCGTCGTGGCCAGCAGCCTCAACAGCAGCAAGGGAACATGTCAAACGGTTTCATGGGAAACATGAACTACGACAGCTCCAGTGCAACCTCGCTGCCTGCTGGAAGCTCCAGCAGCCTGAAAGAAGGCAGCAGCCAGCGACAATATTCCCAGAGCGGAGGCAAGAGAATGGGAAGCAATGACAAAGATGATGACGATGGAGAAGTGTATCAGTGTTCGGTGTGTGGCAATCACTACGCCAGCCTCCGAGCCCTCAGGAGCCACCTGCGTAGCCATGCGAATAACCCAACAGGGCCCGGCCCTTCCTCCCTGGAGCAGGAGTGGAGGATGATCTGCTCCACTTGTGGCCAGAGCTTCTCAAGGAAGCAAGACCTCCTGAATCACCAGTTAGTCCATGGCCCCCAAAGGCCTGATGGCCAGCAACAGAGTATTGTAGGCAGCTCGGCTAATGGCAATGACAAGATGGACGGACGCAACCATATTTGTGTTGACTGTGGCATGTTTTTTGCCGACCGCCACCACCTGATCACACACCTGTGTCCTGGTAAGAATAGGTCTAGCTCCCTGAGCAAGCAGGGTCTGAATGGAGCCAAAGGGATGTCCGGAGGAGAAGGAGTCGCTGGTGGAGGGGTTGCTGGTGGAAGCCGTGAGGTTGGTGGCGATGGACGTAGGCCTATGGTGGACCAAAGTGACAAGCCCCATAAGTGCGACCAATGCGGGCGAGGATACAGACACCCCTGCTCACTCCTTAACCACAAGAAGTCACACAAGACGGGGGTTTTCCGCTGCTTGGTGTGCCAGAAACGCTACTACAATCTGCTGGCTCTCAAGAATCACCAAAGGACCCACTTTGATCTAAAGAGGTAGGTCCCAGATTCTGTACATTTTTGTTTAATATAGATGTTTGAAAGTTGGCTGGTGCAGTTTATGTTAAAGATAACATTTGTGCCAGATTCCGAAGACCTTGGTTTGTTATGCACATGAGTTCTCATGACCAGAAAATGTTATATATTGCACATGATAGGGCTGCTCGATTATGGCAAAAATCCTAATCTCGATTATTTGGGTCAATAATTGATATCACGATTATTAAAAACGATTATCCATTTGCAAAACATCAATTTATTGGAGAAAAAAAAATGTGAACAGTATGTTTTTAACAGTTGATTACCCTGAACTTTAAGTAATAATAATTAATAATAATAAAAAATAATCCTTTTATTTCGATTACGTTGTTTTCGTAATGTGTTTCCAAACATGTTGCAAGTAGGGCTGTCAGTCGATTAAAATATTTAATCGCGATTAATCTCATGATTGTCCATAGTTAATCGCAAATTAATCGCACATTTTTGATCTGTTCTAAATGTACCTTAGAGGAATATTTTTCAAGTTTTTAATACTCTTATCAACATATGAGTGGACAAATATGCTTTATGCTAATGTTTCTTATCATTTGAACAATGACAAATACTCATGAATATTAAACACAACAACCTCTGACCATTACAAATATTCGCCTCAATTCAACCTGGAACCTCTCTCATTCAATAATACAATACAAAGTGTGTGTGTGTGTGATTCTCACTCCCATCCCGTCACATATTGACGGACGGTCAGGGCCCCTCCCCGTCGCTATATTACGTACAGCGGACCCCTTGACCGTCAGGCTTCTACGGGCAGGGCGTCCCATAGACCTTCATAGACCACGTGATCAACAACAATGGCCGACCTTCGTGTTATTCTCGGTGGAAAATGCCTATTTTAAGGTTCATTTGGCCAATAAAATGCGTTTTGATGTCATTTTATGCTTTTAATATGAGTTGTTATTTCTGATTATTTGTGCAGTACATGTACATGATGTTTAGTTTGCTAGTTATGACGAAGATTACTTCATGAATGTGTACACATTCATGGTTGCTAACGTTTTTTTGGTGGAAATGTGTTTTTTCACAAAGTCACCCTCTGTACTTGGACTTATTGGGAGAATCTAAAGGCAAGAACATCCCAAATATTCATTTAGGTCTTTATTTTAGACCTTTAGTGTTGCCGTCTGTGAGGAAAATAAATGGGGCTCAGAGCCTCGTATTTTTAAAATCTTTTTTTCCTTCTAATTTGTTATTCTTTTCAAAATAGCACACTGTTATTTACTCACCAATAACACACATTTATCCTCGCTTTTATTTATTGGTTTAATTCCATAATCTTGGGCTTTTTTGGCGTTCGTCAGGAACTGAATTTCAAAATAAAAATAACCGGAAACAGACGTAGGCATTTCGAGCGATTACCCAAGATCCTCAGCTACGATGATTGGATGTTTTAGCCGCAATGCATGCTGGGATTTGGGGTTTATATTATATGAAATCCGGAAAACATTTTAAAAGAATAAAATAATACTTAATTCCGAGTGCTCTTGCTTTTCTCTTTGAAAGTCATCACATAACGGCATTGTAATACACGGTTCGGCTGCATTGTATATTACAGATCTGCCGTAGTTCTTTATTTATAGAGCCCTGATGAGAAGACCTTTGGAAAAACTGAAGAAATGCCGCCGAAACTGAATACTTGACGTGGATCATAAATATTTCAACAATTAAACAACATCTTCAATTTCTCTTCACACAATACGTCTCCTTGCAGTATCAACACTAATTCGGCTGACTTTTACATTTGATATAATTCATAGATAGGTTATATTTACACCATAACGGTGCACAGCTGATATAAAAGGACTTGTAGTTTTTAAAGATACTACTGATTTGAATTGGATTGAATGTAAATACTGAGTCTGAAATAGTATAGCAATATGCTGTAAAATTATGTGAAAGCATGAATAAAACTACACATTAGGGCTGTGCAATTAATCGTATTTTAATCGCGATTACGATTATGGTTTGCGACGATTAGGAAAACAGCATAATTGACAAAATACGATTATTTTGCTGGGTGCGCTTTCGCCCCTCCCTAAAAGCCCACTCGGCCACGTGGGAGTGACATGTGTTGTGAGTGTTCAGCGCAAGCGAAGATGTCAGAACAAGAGCAGCAACTAGTTAAAAAGAAGGGTCGCGGGGAGATTCCCAGTCGATCGCGAGATGTGTCTAAAAATAGAACAACAATATTCTGTTTTATCGTTAATGTCCTGTAACATAATGTTCCCGTGCCAGAATAATGCACTTGAACGCATCAAAGCTTTGTGATTGGCCGGCCTCACCCCATGTGTCTGGGCGTGGCTGGTGAGCAGTGCACTAGTTCGCTGACGTTGTCCGTGTCAACAGCATGGATGGTCAACAGGAGTGACAGTCCGCACACACACAAGACCGCAATTATGGCAGAAGCAAAAAAGCCCAAAATATATAATTTGCACTCCAAGTGGGAGGATCATTATTTTTGTATCTATTCCAATTCAAAGTCCATCTGTCTCATCTGCAATGCGAGCGTGGCTTTATCGAAGAAGGGTAATTTAGGAGCGGCATTTCAAAACAGTGCACAAACGCTACGAGACGGAATTCCCGCCCTACGCTCCAAAAGGGGAGGGGCCTGAGAGCACAGCTAAATGCACAGCAGTCCATTTTCACCCGGCCCAACAACAAGAGCAAGGCTGCTACCATAGCATCTTATCGTGTCAGTCACGTTCTTGCGAAACACATGAAGTCTTTCAAAGACGGCGAAGTTATGAAAGAAGCATTCCTGGAGGCTGCGACGCGCTTTTGTGGGACAGTAAAAATAACAGCAGCATTTCAACAGGTTTTTGATAAAATCTCAAGTTAGATACCGTTATTAATCAGCTGTACGTTTTAGTTTGTTTGAATTTATTCATGATAATTATTGTACAAAATGGTATAAGAATGCAAACATTAAGATCTGTTCTGTTTAAATTGATTATAGTCTATCAGTTCAGAAACTAGTGTTGCTTGCATCCTATTTTAAAGGCATTTATTTTTATACTCTAATAAAATGCAACAAAAAATGGGTTTGATTCTATTAATGTTGTCTTTTTTATTGCACTGTTGCTGCAGCAGATTACTGTGTAGCTTCAGATCTGAGTTGTCTTATTAGTAAGCCTAATTTATACTTTTGTAGCAACACTATTTTTATATAATGGCAAAGAAAGGGTTCTTCAGAGTCTTTTCTTTTTTTCCTGTGTCCTATGTGGCAGCACTGCCACAAGTTCCTCTTCAGAGAGGGTCTTCAGTACAGGTGGCAATATCGTCACCTGCCTGCGCTCATCTCTGAAACCAGACCATGTAAACAGGCTGGTATTTCTTGCAAAAAATCTTTAAGAGATGACATGAGCAGTCCTACCAGCATTTGCCATGGTGGCCTAAACATTTTTATTTGGTCTTAAATTGTAGTTCAACATTTATTTCCTGTTACTTCTGGACCATGACGGTGGGCCAGCCTTCAACGTTTAACTGAGTGGAATATGTTAAATATGTTTTACCAAAATGTTGGCTATGTTAAGGAGTTTTCAGTAGGTTGTGACAGTGCACTGCAACATATTTGATTTCATTTATTTTTGGTCTAATTTATTTTTATTTATCATATTAATATAGGTTTAGTATGGTTTTGGAAGTGCGCTCCAACACATTTATTGATCTTGTTTATTGGTAAAATATTATTTGTTTTAAAGTTCAATAAATGGTCAATGAATAATCGTCAAAATAATCGTGATATCAATTATTGACCAAATAATCGTGATTATGATTTTTGCCATAATCGCACAGCCCTACTACACATCTTCAGATGTTGTACATACAAGTGTCCAACACTAATAATACAAAGTTATTATGGCTGTGTGTACCTTGTGTGCACCGCCTAGTGGTTAAAGCACGTTATTGAATTATTGTTTTTATGTGTTATATTTGATTAATATAAATATTAAGAGTACATACTTTCATAGGGGGAAAGTAGAAGGTCTGTGATATAAATATAGAATATAAAAAATCAAGAAGATACTATAAGTCAGGGATCACCAACTACATTTGTCCAAGGGCCAAAATGTATCCAATAGACACTATCGCGGGCCAGCGATTTTTATATAGCCCAGAATTTTGAAGGGGGGGGGGGTGCTAGTGGAGCACGCTCAGGTACTGCGGACCGCATAAAGCTTAGCAGACTCTTCACGCTAACGAAGGATCACTTCTAGGCAGGGTTTACTTTGTAAATGTAATCAGTTACTGAATACATGCTCTGAAAGTAATCAGAATACAGTTACAGTTGCGTGTCTTAAAAATGTATTCAGATTACTTTTAGAATACTTTTGGATTACTTTCTTTTTCCATAACAGATGGGTATGTTTTGGTGAACAGGAGACACGTATTTTACTGTTTTAATGGCTTATCAAGAACTCAAACACAACATCTTCGTGTCATTCTGGACAGCTCCCTCTCATCTGCACCCCACATAAAAAACATCACCCAGACTTCATTCTTTGTACTGTCTTAAAACCTTTATATGTTATGAATTGTAAGGTGTCCTTGGGTGCTTTGAAAGGCGCCCCTAAATAGAATGAATTATCATTATTATGTATTATCTGAAACGATGTAATAACTTTTAAAACTTTTTCCAGTCACTTGCCCCATGCATTCAGCAGCAGCAGGCCATTCAGTTTGATTTGATCCCGTTATAAATGTCATCATCTTGACAATAAAGAAATGCTACATAAACGTTATCTTGCACATTTTATCGAACCATCTCCGTTTCTAACTTTCAATATAGTTTAAAAGAGATCTCTCTCTCTCACCTGCGTGCGGGGGCGGGGCCTCACAGACACTCTGCATCTCTCTCTCGCTCACAGACATGCAGCGCTGTGCAGTGTGCACACAGTTCTGCCGGTAATGAATATTACATTTTATGAGGAAACTTT